AGAGCTGCACCTGCGCCCAGCACGCACCGTGAGGAGGCTGAAGCCCCCGGGCCGCTGAGCGGGGCCACGGGGGGCCCCCCAGAGTGGGCACAGCTAAACTGAGCTTTCTATACGGGATGGGGGGCCACCTTAGCCATCGTTTGTAAGAAGTCCTGGGGGCCCGGGGGATAGCAAACGTGAATCGCTGCCAGGGACAAGATGTCGTTTTCTGCCCCGGAGTTAAGTGAAGGGTTCCATGTGTTCCTCCCCCGTCTCATGAGGCTGGGGTGCATTGCTTCCAGCGTGTTTGGTGCTGTTCGAGCACTCACGGTGGCAGGACTTTAAATTGCAGTTGGCAGTTATATTTCAAATGTTTCAGAGCTTGCGACTTTATGGGACAGTTACAGTTCAGGGAATCTTTGAAAGAATTCACGTAAAAATGGGGAGAGTTCTGTGCACAGACAATTTTCCCTGAAACATTATTTAGTGGGAAGGCCTGTCTTCTCTGTCCAACAGTAGGGAATAAATCAGTAACCTGTAACCTAGCTGTCCGCTTGCTGGGTTATTTTTAGTTACCAAATGTTAAAAAGATGGCAGAAGAAGCTTAGTTTGCAGGTTAGCATTGGCCTTATTGTCCGAGGACATCTTTTCTGTCATTGAATTCCACTGTTTGGATTCTTGACAGTGAGGCACCTGTTTCAAGAATAAAGTTTCATGAAGGTAGAGGCTTCCGGAATACTGCCTTCTGACCTTTGCACAGAATGCTAGTAGGCGCAGTACTGCCTGGCACCGTCTCCGCATGCCTGCCCACGCCCACACACACATACACACGCACACACGCACGGTAGTGTGTCAGCGTCCACTACACACGATTCCCTGGAGCACTGCTAGAAAGAGAGCTCATTTTGCACACGTGAAGCTTGTTACACGCTGTAGGAGCTGTATTTTAATAACATTTAGAACAGAATGGAAGTAATTGCACTGTTTCTGGATGTTCCTGACTATCTGGAGTAGCACTCATGCTTGTCATTTCCCTGAAAGCCTTCATTTCCAAAACGTTGGAGAGTCACAAGCAATCTAGAGAAGGAAGATAGTAATGGTGGTACAGAGGACCGTGTCCAGGGCACGACGGGTGTTGGACATATGGCAGGAAATAGATGGCGAGACCTGGATCCAAGAAACAACAGAACAACACTCAGACGTCAGTTTGGGTCTTAAATATTTTCCCCTTGAATACATTTTCCCCAGTTGCTCATTATGAGGTATTTCAAACATACAGAAACATCAAAACAGTGTTCTTTTACAAAGATTGAACAGCAGTGAATGTTACAACTCGATGGCTTTCTGTCTACACTGACCGTTCGTTCCTCAGTGCTCTGCAGGTAGGACCTTTAGCAGGGGCCTCCGCCTGAGAGGCTGGATTCTAAAGCCACGACACCATTGTCACAGCTGAGAAAATCAGCAGTAACTCCTAATATGGCATCTGCAGCTCATTTCAAGTATCTTCTGTCGTCTCAGTAATTTCTTTTCTTCCAAACTGGTACGACACACAACATGTCATTTTCTGTTTTAGAGTGCAGAATTCAGTGGTATTGGGTATATACCCCCAGGGTTGTACAGCCACCACCACTGTGTACTTCTGGAACATTCCCAGAAATGTCTTGTGTAGGCTTTTTTTCAGTTGAGGTTCTTTTTGTGTGTGTGTGTGTTTAATTTAATTTATTTAATTAATTAATTTATTTTTACAGATAGTTTATTTTTTTGTTTTTTTGTGTGTTTAATTTAATTTATGTATATATATTTTTACAAACAGTTTATTTTTTCAATCGAGGTTCTAATCAGGGTTTAACTATATCACTTGGCTACATCTTTTTAATTTCTTTTAAGTTGGAGAAATCTTTGCACTGTTTTTCTTTCTCTTAATGACTATGTGGTGTTTTTGAGGAGTCCAGGTTGGTGTTTGTGGTGCATCCCGGGTGTGGATTAGTAGTACTTCCTGGAGCCTGGCCGTGCTCTTGATTTTGTTTGCTTCTGCCACCTGAGAACCGGCCAGAGCTGCCCCAGAGTCCAGCGCTCCCGATGCCAGCGCAGGCCGCTTGCAGAGTTTCCTGTGTCCCGGGGTGGCTGCGGGTTTCTGTTCCTGATGTGTTCCCGCGGGACACTGGTGACGCTGTGGCGATGGCACCTTCAGGACCACCTGGAGACTGGGTGGTTAAGTGAACGTGCTGGGGAGGCTGGTCTGCTCCGTCGCTGTCACCTCAGCAGGCAGGGGGCAGGCTGTCCGCTGGCCAGCCGTCCTGGGTGTGAGTCCACGTCAGGGTGGAGATCTCTAGAACTTTTTGCCATTCCTGACTTTCCATTCCAGCTGTGAGGGATTTGTGATGCTTCTCCAGCATCACGTACTGTTCTGGTTTTTGCCCCCCAAGCACTGCTGGATTTCCCAGATACATTTCTGTCATTGATTCTTAAATTTCTTGATGGCCAGAGAACATACTTTGATTGCAGTTCGTTCTCTAAGGTGTATTCGTTTGTATCGGGGCCCAGGATGCGGCCCGTGAGGGCGAGTGCTCACTAGGCACTTGACGAGGACTCCGCCGCGGAGGGCTGAGTGTTCGTAGGTGCCGGTCAGGGCAGGTGCACCGGCGGTGCTGGCATCCTTTCTGATGTGACGTTTCTTCTGTCAGCGACCGAGAGACGAGTTGGGAGGCCTTCGGGCAGTACTGAGGATTTGTCCGTCTCTCCTTCTGCTTATGTCCTTCACATCTGGTGTACTTTGAAACTGCTGCTAAGTGTGTGCACACAGGATTGCTGGGGCTTACTGGGGTTTGCTCGTTTGTCGTTATGTAATGTCATTTATCCTGGGCGGTTCTTCCATTTCATTTTTTGATGTTGTCTTTGTCTTACGGTACAGTTGCTACTTTTCTTCCTTTGAAAGAGGGCTTGTGTTGTATCCTTTTCTTTTTTTTTTACTTTTAGTCTTTTAACTTATGTGCCTTTATACTTAAAATGTTTTATTATTTTGTAGATGGTGACTTTTGTCTTCCAGGAGACATTTGGCAACATCTGGAGACCTTATTGTTGCAACGGCGGGGGGGGGGGGTGTGCTCCCACTGGTATCAGGTGCGTAGTCCCTGATGATGTTGCACGTTGCGCGGTGCACAGGATGGCTCCGCCAGCAGGGAATCATGTGAGCCCGGGTGTTAAGGGCGCCGCCGCTGAGAAGCCCCGCTGTACGGACTGCAGTGTGCGTCGCTGACCTCCACTGTCAGCTTTTTACACCTGCTGTAGACTGTGGAACCGCCCACTCCTTACAGTGTGGCAGTCATGTTTGTTCACGTCCGTTTGTGTCGAAAACTTCACTGGATGATGTGACTGTGATTTCCAGTCATCCGTTTAAAGAATTTCGTGTTGGTTTTCATTCCCGAAATTACAAGTTTCCTGTTTGTATCATTTTCCTTCATCTTGAAACTTTCCTTAGCATCCTTTTGTAGTAGGTCTGATGCTGACATAGCCTCCGAGTTTTATCCTTCCTCTGAGGATGTTTTCGTTTTGCCTTCGTTCCTGGAGGCTCTTTTTGCTGCAGATAGAATTCTAGGTGGATCCTGCTTGTTTCAGCACTTGGACGCGGAGCCCTGGCCTCTGTCTGTCTCCATGAGAAGTTCATGGGTGTTGGAGCTGATGTTCCTTTATGTGTAATGAGTCCTTTTTCTCTGGCTGCTTCCAAGAAAATTCCTTTATCTTTGCTGTGAGTCGTTTGGTCACGATACACTTTGTCTGATTTTGACTTCATCCTGTTTTGGGTTTGCTGTTGTCTGTAAGTGGATTGTGGTGTTGTCTGGCCCTCATTTAGGCCACAGTTATGAGTTTGGGTTGGTTTTATTTGTCTTCTGTAAAGTCAGTGGACTTTTTCAGTTTAAACTGTCGCTATCTCACAGGAACACAGAAATCTCTTATTTTTAAAATCGGGATGGGGCGCCTGGGTGGCTCAGTCGGTTAAGTGTCTGGCTTCAGCTCAGGTCATGATCTCGTGGTTTGTGGGTTTGAGCCCCGCGTCGGGTTCTGTGCTGACAGCTGGCTCAGAGCCTGGAGCCTGTCTTCGAATTCTGTGTCTCCCTCTCTTTCTGTTCCTCTCCTGCTCACGCTGTCTCTCTCCCTCTCAAAAATAAATAAAACATAATTCTTTTTTTAAATCGGGGTCATGCCTACCATGAAGGCTAGATGTAAAATTAGTAAGATAGCATTTGTTGACTCTCCATTATACTTTCTAACAAATTGTTGGTTCTCAAAGTAAGCTTTTATTTGTTGAAGATAAATGTGTCCATGATTTAGGAAAGATAAAATGGACATTTGATAATAGGCTGCCTGTTTTTGGAATTGAAAGAGGATTATTGGACTCTAAAAGGGATGCTGGTTGTGGAGGAAATTATTTAATTGAATAGAGACAGAGAATAAGTACATGTGGGATGTAGTATTCTTGCTGTGTGTGTCAAATTTGACAACAAACCAGGGGGTCCAGGTTCCTGCCTTTGACCCTAAGATACCTACGTAGGTCAAAAGTCACTTCCACGACTTTGATTGATGAGTGTAAAGTTGGCCAGATTTTACATCCCATCAGTCTGGACAACTATTGAGATGTGACCTGAATATATACGTTTTTTGCTAATAATAGTATTATAGATGATGAACTTTTTCATATTCCTGAATTGAACGCTGAGTGGGTGGTACTGTTGAGCTGACCGTTTGTGCTGATGGCTGTGGGGGCTCTCCTCACAGCATGGTCACGTTGGCTTCCTTGGGCAGCCTCTTTCTTTTTTGCTTATTACTCTGGCTAGGTAAGATTTTTGCAAAGGAGAGTAGCATCCATTATTTATAATGGTTTGCCTCCACCACGGACAGCATAGTTTGAGGAAAAAAGAAAAGTGTGATCAGCAAAATTGGACCAGCTCTTGTCCTAAACGATACCCTTCCCATGACGGAGGCCTGCGTGGCCTGCCTCAGCGCTCTGCTCTCGCCTTCCCCAGGTACCAGCTGGAAGATGAGTCTGCCCCTTTGGATGAAATGCCGCTAATGATGTCTGAAGAAGGCTTTGAGAACGACGAGAGTGATTACCACACGTTGCCGCGAGCGAGGGTCACGCGGAGAAGAGGAGGTCTGGAGTGGTTTGTCTGCGGAGGCTGGAGGCTCCTCTGTACCAGGTGTGCTATCTGCTGCTGCCTCATTTCCTGTGCGCCGAGCTTCTGTAGTTAAGACATTTGTAAGCTTAGCTTCTAACATATTTACTTTTATATCAAACTAAAGGAGACAGTCTGAATGAAATGACATCATGGAGAGTGATAATCATTAGTCAGAACCAAACAGGCTCATCAGAAAGGGACCAAAAGCCAAATTCACTTTTTTTATGGTACATTTTAATGTTTAGAAGATGGAGAAAATTAGTAGTTTTGTAATGCATGATAGAATCAATTCTGGTTACCATATCAGCATTTATGAGCTGTGTTCCCTGCCATCTGTAGTTATACTGTGTCCAGAAAGGTAAGTATGCGCCTGTGAAATGTAATGTATTAACACCGTAGCTACCTATGTGTGTTATTGACCGGACTGCTTTGACTTGGAGTAAGTAAGATTCTGCTGTGAATTTAACCAGAGAGAAATGGAAGGTAAGGACTGCTTATACTTTATTTCTTTATTTTATTAAAAAAAAAATTTTTTTTAATGTTTTATTTATTTCTAGGAGAGAGAGAGACAGCGTGAGCAGGGGAGGGTCAGAGAGAGAGGGAGTCACAGACCGAACCAGGCTCCAGGCTCTGAGCTGGCAGTTAGCACAGAGCCCGACGCAGGGCTCGAACCCACGAACCGCGAGATCATGACCTAAGCGAAAGTCGGATGCTTAACCGACTAAGCCACCCAGGCACCCCTATTTCTTTATTTTTTTAAAAAAATGTTTATTCTTGAGAGAGAGAGAGCTAGAGAGACAGTGTGATTGGGGGAGGGCCAGAGAGCGAGGGAGACACAGAATTCGAAACAGACTCCAGGCTCTGAGCTGTCAGCACAGAGCCCGATGCGGGGCTCGAACCCACGAACCGTGAGATCATTACCTTACCGGAAGTCGGACGCTTAACCAACTGAGCCACCCAGATGCCCCAGGACTGCTTATACTTTAAACAGGTTCACTTGTGGTTGACAAAAATAGCATTAAATCTGTTCACCTTTGGGGCGCCTGGGTGGCTTAGTCGGTTAAGCGTCCGACTTTCACTTAGGTCATGGTCTCGCGGTTGTGGGTTTGAGCCCCGCGTCGGGCTCTGTGCTGACTGCCAGCTCAGAGCCTGGAGCCTGTTTCAGTCTGACTCCCTCTCTCTCTGACCCTCCCCTGCTCACGCTCTCTCTCTCAATCTCTCTCCTAGAAATAAATAAAAAACAAAAAACAAAACAAAAAAAAACATTAAATCTGTTCACCTTTGACTTTAGCGTCTGGTGTGTGAAACCACGCTCTGTAAGGACACTTTGCCACTGACTGTTCTCCAGCCCCGGGGACAGGCAGGGCAAGATTACAGCTGACCAATGCCAACGTAACTTGAACAGAGTATGTAAAAGAAATTACAGCTTTTCTAGTCTTTTTGCTGTTCACCGTTTGTGGTCAGTGCCTTTCTTACAGTCATGAACTTCTATCCCTTTGCCCATCAAAAGAATATACATAATTGTAGAAAGATATCTTATTTATCATCCTTTTTATCCCTTTAGAAGTTTGCAAAAAGATGTTTTGACAACTGATTTGATTTCAGGGTCAGCTCATGCAGTGGTATTCAGGCAGTGTTCCCTGGGCTCCAGGGGCTCTGAGGAGTCCCTCAGAGACACAACACAGGCAGCTCCTCAGGAAGTCCGGTCAGGAAGTGGCCCCAGCAGCACTTCGGCCTACGTACCCCCCTTTCTGCTTCCAATTGGTGTCTGTCTTTATCTTTCTTACCTGTTGTAAGCTTTTCATATGAAGGAGGAATTTGGAAATCGATGACTTGTGTAACATTTCCAGGTTAAAGAGCCAGTATCCCCTCAGTGTTCCCTGTGGGCGCTTACGAGCTGCAGAGTTCTTTCGCCAGCGGTTGCAGGGCTGTGCGGGGCTGTTCTGTTTTGTTTTCCTCCTGCCAGTTGTGATGCTTTGTGCTTTTCAGGGGATTTGTCTTTCTTCAAATATATAAATTCCTGTGATGTAAGATGAATGAGGCTTTGTAGGGATGTCATGTGTTTTTTTACTCCTGATATTGTTATTTGTCTCTCTCTCCCTTTTTCCTCTTAATCTTGACAGGAGATTATCAGTTTCATTCTTTTCAAGGAGCCAAACTTCTGGTGGTATCTTTGCTTTTGAAATTTTAAACATTTATCTTTTTAAAAAATTTTTATTTTTTAATGTTTTATTTATTTCTGAGAGAGAGAGAGAGAGAGAGAGACGGCATGAACAGGGGAGGGTCAGAGAGAGAGAGGAAGACACAGAATCTGAAACAGGCTCCAGGCTCTGAGCTGTCTGCACAGAGCATGACGCGGGGCTTGAACCCACAAACCATGAGATCATGACCTGAACTGAAGTCGGACGCTTAACCGACGGAGCCACCCAGGTGCCCCTAAACTTTTTTCTTGAAATAAATCCAAACTTCTAGGAAAGTTGCAAGAATAGAGCAGAGAATTCCTATATGCCGTTTGCCCAAGTTCACTCATTTTTAATCTTTTGCCATGTTTATTTTCCCATTTTCGTCACCTCTGACCGTTATTTTCTGAGTCATTTCATTTCAGACTAGGTTGCTTCTTCATTCCTTTCTTTACATCTTCGTACTTGAGCGTGTGCTTCGTAGGAGGAGGGCATTTTCCTCCCTGACCGTCACACAATTGCCGTGTTCTGCAGGCGTAGTGTGGTACCGTGCCTTCCGCCTGCTGTCCCCATCCTGTCCTCTGTCATGCACCGCCTCCCTGGGCCGGTGAGGCCACTCGGTGGCATGCCTGTGCAGTCTCCATTAATCTGGAATCGTTCTCACCGTTTGTCTTTTATTCCATTGACATTTTTGAGGACTGCAGGCCAGGTATTTTGTACGTTGCAAAGTTTGGTTTGTCTGAGGTTCCTCGCTGTGGATTCAGTTTCGATGTTCCCTGCGAAGTGCTGCTGTAGCAGAGGTACTGTGAACGTAGGGTGCTTGCTTCCTGTTTCATTATCTTCTGGTTTTCCCATAGTTTTTTCTCATACTTTGAGTTTAATTTGCTATTCTTTATCCTAGGTTCCTAAGATGAGCATTGCACTTTTTTCTTTTTTAAAAATAGATGCATTTAAGTTTTGGTACATGGTATATTCATTATCATTTCAAAATATATTACAATTTGCATTGTCATTTCTGCTTCCGTTGATGCTCAATTTAGAACCATTCTGCTTAATTTCTAAACAGCCAGGAATTTTCCTAATTATCATTTTGTAATTGACTGTTGTCTTAATTTCACCACGGCCAGAGAATGTACTTACGATTTTTTAAAATTTCAGTCTTTGTAATGTGTTGAAACTTGCTTTATGATTCATCACATATGGACAGTGTTGGTTAATTTTCCATGTGTATTGAAAATAATTTGTATTTTTTTGTTGTTGAGTGTGTTGCTCGGTATGTCAGTGAGTTGTATCAGTCAGTGGTCTTGGTTGAATCCTCTATTCCCAGAGTTTGCTGGTGTATCAGTTATGAGAAGCTTCTATGGGTCTCCCCACATCGGTGAGGATGTGTCTCCTGCTTTAAATGATGTCAGTTTTGCTTTATGTATTTTAGAGTATGTTATTAGGTGATGCAAGTGTGGGATTACTAATTTACCGTTGGCTTGATCTTTATCTCTAATGATATTTTTTCTATGCATGCATATATCTGACTTCAGTACAATGGTACCAGCTTTATTTTCATTTTTTAATTTTAATTCTAGTTAATTTACAGTGTTACATTCGTTTCAGGTGTACAATATAGTAATTCAGCAGTTGCATCCATCACTGTGTGCACATCACGACAGGTATGCTCCCTTAATCTGCATCACCTGTTTCATGCCCCACCCTCACCCCTTGGTGACCATCAGATTACTCTCTATTGTTAAGGGTCTGTTCCTTTTTTTTAATTATTTTATTTTTTCAATGTTTTAATTTATTTCTGAGTGACAGAGAGAGAGAGAGCAAGAGAGAGAGAGCAAGAGAGCGTGAGCAGGGGAGGGTCAGAGAGAGAGGGAGACAAAGAATCTGAAACAGGCTCCAGGCTCTGAGCTGGCAGTCAGCACAGAGCCCGACGCGGGGCTTGAACCCATGAACTGTGAGATCATGACCTGAGCCAAAGTCGGATGCTTAACCCACTGAACCACCCGGGCGCCCCTAAGGATCTGTTTCTTGATTTGTCTCTTTTCCTCCCTCCCTTTCTCTGTCAGTAGCAGCTTTCTTTGACTTGTATTTGCATCATGTATAATTTTCATTCTTTGTTTTATTAAAAAATATGTTTCTTTTGAAATAATAATAGCTTCACAGAGAATTGCAAAGTCAGTATAGAGGGTCTCACCTGCCTTCCTCCAGTTTCCCCGCAGTGGTTGCATGTTATGTCACTCTTGTGTAGCGTCAGACCGGGAGGCTGGCTGTGCTGCACGCCGGGTGGAGTTCACTCACTTTACTACACATGTGGGGTTGCGAGGCCCCCAGGGCAGCAACAGCACAGAGCCGCCCCCTCGCCACAGCTGTCTCCTGTGCGCTGCCGCTTGCGGCCCTGCTCCTCCCCTGAGCCGGGCCGAGGCTCTGTCAACCACTGGTCCGTTCTCTAGCTCTGTAAGTTTGGTTGTGAGGGTGTTCAGTAACTGCAAACATTTGGTCTATGAATTTTGGAGATTGGCTTGTTCAGTCAGCACAGTGCCCTGAGATCCATCCCGGCTGTGGTGTGGTGATGGCTTGTTTCGTGCCGAGTGGCAGTCGTGGGATGGATGAATGTTTGCCGGACCATTCGCCTTGCAGAACATTTACATTGTTTCAGGTGTTTGGACGTTAGGAGTAGAGCTGCTGTGAACGGGAACCGTCGTGTGCAGGGGTTGTGTGTGGACCTGTTTCATTTCTCTGGGAAACCCGTGCAGGAGCACAATTGCGGGGCGATGTAGGTATGTGTTCCGTTTGCTAAGAAATGACTGAACTATTTCCCAGACTGGTGGTGCCATTTTGGAT